TGCAGATATTGCTCCAGGATTCCAATGACCTTCTCGGTCCCTCTGTCGGTTTGGGGATGAAGCGTGGACGAGAGGCAGATCTTGACGTCCAACGCCTGCATCAACTCCTGCCAGAAATGGGCTGTGAACTGGGCCCCTCTATCGGACATGACCCTATCAGGAAGACCATGCAGCCGGAACACCTGCTGGATGAACACGCGAGCGGTGGTGCGGGCAGATGGTAAGCCACGGTATGGAATGAAATGCGCCATCATGGTCAACATGTCAACCACCACGAATACCGTCGTGAATCCAGAAGATGGGGGAAATCCATCAAAAAATCCATGGACACCACCCCCAGGGTCTTTTGGGTGTTGGCAAGGGCTGCAGTAGTCCAGGTGGGGCCCCTGTTGCTGACTTGGCTTGCCTACAGGAAATACATGATGAGACGTAGGTCTGAACGTCGTGTCGGATTCGGGGCCACCAGAAGGTACGGGAGACCAAATTCAGGGTCTTGAACAGGCCAAAATGCCCCGCTGCGGGATTATCATGACACTGGCTGAGGATGAGTCCTCTGAGCGGGCCTCCAGGCACATAGAGCTGATCACGATAGTGGAGTCCATCCATGACTGTCCATGGTGAATTGGTCCTCACCTCCTCCTTTCGCTGAGCCACCCACCCATCCTGCTGCTGGGCCTCCCGAATCCGAGCCCGTACATCTCTTGGCTCCTTCACCGTAGCAAAAGACTTAATAGGGAGCACTGTCCTGGGCAGAAGCTTGTCTTCTGTTTGGGAATATTCGGGCTTCCTGGACAGAGCATCCACTCTTTGATTGTGACCGCTCGGTATGTACATCACCCGGAAATTGAACCTTGCAAAGAAGAGAGACCATCGGATCTGGCGTTGGTTCAATTTCCGAGTGGTCTGCAGGCTTTCTAAATTCTTGTGGTCTGTCCGGACCTCGATTTGATGCCGCGCCCCTTCCAGATGATGCCTCCAGGTCTCGAACGCCACTTTAATGGCCAATAGCTCCTTCTCCCAGATGGTATAGTTGCGCTCTGCCAGATTCAGTTTCCGTGAATACGCGCAAGGGAAGAGGGCACCGCCGGGTGTCATCGCCTGGAGTAACAACGCCCCAATGGCAATGTCAGAGGCATCCGTCTCCACGACAAATGGCCATTGCGGGCCAGGATGCTTCAGGATGAGCTCCTTCATGAAGGCTTCCTTCAAAGCCTGGAAAGCCCATTGTTCTGGAACGTCCCACTGAAACCGAGTCTTTTTCTGCAGGAGCTGAATAAGGGGAGCTGTCATGGTAGCAAATCCGGGGATGAAAGTCCGATAATAGTTGGCGAACCCAAGAAGTCGCTAGACATCCTTCACACGACATGGTGGTTGCCGACTCTGCAAAGGCTCTACTTTACTCGGGTCCATGGTGATGCCCTCAGGAGAAATGCAGTGACCCAGGAACTCGACAGCCGTCTGGTAGAACTGGCATTTCTCTAATTTAGCATATAGCCGATGTTCTCGAAGCTGCTGCAAGACCTGACGGAGATGCCGATGGTGCTCCTCTCGTGATGGGGAATAGATCAGGGTGTCGTCCAGGTAAATCACCACAAACTGATCTAACAAGTCCCGGAAAATATCATTCATAAAGTGTTGGAACACAGCAGGGGCGTTGGTCAGGCCAAAGGGCATCACCGTGTACTCGAAGTGCCCATACCGAGTACCAAATGCCGTCTTCCACTCATCACCCAACCGAACTCTGACCAGGTTGTAAGCTCCGCGCAAGTCCAGTTTTGTGAAGATTTTGGCCTCCCGGAGCCGGTCCAAGAGTTCAGGGATGAGGGGCAGCAGGTATCGGTTGCGCACTGTGATGGCATTTAATGTCCGATAATCACAGCAAAGCCGCAATTCACCGGACTTCTTCTTAACGAGTACGGGTGCAGATACTGGTGAGGACGAGGGCCGAATAAATCTCCAAGCCAAATTCTTGTCCAAAAAGTCCCTCAATGCAGCCAACTCAGGGTCCCACATGGAATACAAACGCCCCACTGGGAGAGGCGCATTAGGAACTAAGTCAGTGGGGCAGTCATAAGGCCTGTATGGGGGCAATCGATCCGCCTCAGTCTTGCTGAATACATCAGCATACTCTGCCAATTCAGAGGGTAAGGAGACCCCTGTGGGCCCCTCTACCTGACCGGCACAGGTGTGGCGGGTGTGGTCCACGCACTGCAGGCTTGGAAAGATGACCAAGTTCTGAGACCAATAGATCTGTAGGTCATGCCGGAGCCATGCCATTCCCAAGACCACTGGAAAATGCAGGTCTGAGGTGATATAAAACTGAATGGCCTCCTCATGATTACTGATGGCCATACATAGCAGTTGCGTGGCGGCCTTAATTGGCCCAGACAGAAGCACTTGACCATCAATGGTCTCCACCAACATCGGTGGATCCACCGGGCATTGGGGAATTGCCCATTTAGCCACAAATGCTGCATCCATAAAGTTTGTAATGGCCCCAGAGTCAATCAATGCATGGACAGGAATCCCCTTGGGCAACATAGGAAGAAGCATGCATGCCTCCAAAATCAAATGTTTTGGGGGTCCGTGGGTAGCATTAGAAGGACGTGATTCGGAGTTGCAGGATGCCCGACCCAAAAAGCCTTTTAAGTCGGGTGTGGCCCGTTTCTTGACAGGGAAACCGAGGGCAGTCTTGAGACTGGCTCCATCACAGATGCCCCTCGTTGCTTCTTGGGGCAGAAAGCAGCCAAATGTCCAGGGTCCCCACAGTAAAAACACACGCCCCCTGAACGTCGCCTGTTCATCCCTGCCAACAATAGACGAGGTCTGGCAGCACCTAACTCCATTGGCTCCTCCCTCTGGACCGGGGTCGCACTCACAACGGGGGCCATTCGGGTCTCTGGGGTAGCATGGCGACTCCTTCGCTGCTGAAGCCGGGCGTCGATCCACAGGCAGAGATGAATGAGCCCATTAAGGTCTGGGGGAAGCTCAACCCAGGCCAACTCCTCCAACATCTCCGACAAGCCATCCTGGAAAGTGTCCATGAGCGCAGCCTCATTCCAGGCTGAATCCTGGCTAAGCAGCCGAAATTCGCTGATATAGCCCTGCAGGGGGTGTTGGTCTTGCCTCAGGGCTTTCAAACGCCAGGTAGTTGTCTGAATCTTGATGGGGTCCTCATACATCAACTGCATGTGATCATAAAACCCCCACAAAGTTGTCCAGCAATGGGCTATGTTGGGCTAACAAGGGTGTGCCCCAACGAGCTGCAGAACCAGAAAGCAGGCTTATCATAAACCCCACTTTATGCCTGTCAGTGGGGAAATCATCTGCTTTCAACTGATGTACAGGTGGCATTGTCCCATGAACACAGGAAACATGTCCGCGTTGCCATCAAAATTGTCCGGCCTCGCCATTTGGCATTTTCTTCTGGGTGGTGGTGGAGCAACAGTAACCTGGGCAGATAACTGAGCAACTTGAGCAGATAACAAAGCCAGCTGCTAGGCGAGCTGGGTGTTCTCAGCACGTAGCTGCTCCATGATAGTAGGGGGTAAGGCTGAAGGCAAACTGTTCTATCCCAGCCTATTGCTGTCCTTGTTAAAGGCACAAGGACCAAACCCCTGCTGATGCAACAGGCTGGAGACTTTACAACAAAACAACCCCCTTTTTAATATGGGTAACAAACCTGTCAAATAGTCCAAAACACAAACAGCAAAACTCAAGTTCAAAGGAATGAAATAGTCCACAAGAAACACGATGCAAACAGAAGAGAAGTCACAAGCAAGACGAACAGACCAGGATTCCAAGAAGCACTTTGCAAACGGTTGCCTTCAGCAACCAGCACCACCCATACCTCTTCCCTTTATTCAGCAGTCCCAAGGCGTTGCCTCTCATCGCCTTCTCCTTTTACTCTGGAGGCATCGTATTGATTGCTGCTGATTTTCTCTTGCTAAATGACGACATGTGCGAGCATCAATTAGCAAGTCCATCAGGTCCGACTCATTCTCCTCACACAGCTGAGCTTCATTAGGAACACGACTGAAGGGCCCAGGCTCTGCATCAAACCATGAGTCCTGTAATTCATCCGAGCCTCCCTCTGCCCCTGATGGCCTTCAAATACCTCCTCCACCTCCTCCTCAGATTCCTCAGACTCAGCTGTTCCGAGCACAGGCTGGCACGGAATCACAAAAGAGGTGTCGCAGCAGCAGCAGGGCCAGTAGGCAGAACGAACGTGGCCCGTTGCAGCCGTGGACAAACAGATAGTGGAATTGAGATGGCCGGGCTGGCAGTAGTAGCGCTCCCACTTCCATCGGCCCCCGCGCTCGCCACCACTTGTACAAGGAAAAAAATAAGACATCCCCCCAAATAAGCCCTAGCGCCTCTTTTGGAGGCCCCCCCCAAAAATAAGACCAGGTCTTATTTTTGAGGAAAGACGTTATTATTCATTTTTTCCGCACTTTATATTACATGCTTAATATGAAGGACAATAATGTGATATGTTTAAGCAATCAATTATTATGCTGAAATTATAATATTAAAAGTTCAAAGCACCAGAAGACAATTTGATCCTCTTTTGTATCTTCATCTTTAATAAAATAAGTATTTCTTTTTAGAGCAGCTTTTGTTGATTGTATCTTTGTATATTATTATCATAGATTTAAGTTTTATTAGCAATTGAGAGTTGTGATTTTTCTCTCAATCAACCTACCTCACAGGTTTATTAGAAGATATAATGAAAGATAATTATAGGTGAGCTACTTTGAACTCTTTAGATCAGGGGTGTCAGACTCACAATGTCACGTGACATGTCGCAACGTATTGCGACTTTTTTTCCATTGCTGACAATGGGGTGGGCGTGGTTTTAGCATGACGCATCCGGCCCGTGGGCCGGCCGTTTGATACCCCTGCTTTAGATGTACCAAATAAATAAGCATTAATATTTTCATAAAGCTACAAAAGTCACATTGATTACCCTTAATTCACATATGCTTTTTTCATTCTAGGTACACATGTTATGGAAGGTTCTGGAAGAATGGTAGTTACTGCTGTAGGGGTAAACTCACAAACTGGAATTATCTTTACTTTACTTGGTGCTGGAGGGGAAGATGAAGAAGAAAAAAAGGAAAAAGAGAAAAAGGACAAGAAAAGTATGCACTTTTAAAATCCTGTAAAATTATTTTAGAAATAATTGCACATAGATAGTTGTTCGTTTATTCTTTATGTAAATTTTGAGAAATGTAATTTTAGAATTCACTGATACTCTTCAGCCATTCAAAATAAATTTAAAAATGAAATCAGAATCTCTTCAATATTTGAATTATTTCAAGCTAATGTTCCAAATCAGCTTCAGCTTTCAATTTGTGAGCCTGTAGAATCACGTTTCACTCAAGTATTCTTAGCAATATCACTAGAGTAAGATGTGTTGAATGAGACATGTCAAATAATGATAAACACGACAGAATAATTATAAAAAATGTCTAAAAAAATAAATTCTGAACCATACTTTATAATGTTGTATTCGTATTTAATGTGATCATACTAGGGATTTATTATACAGTAATAGTGGAGAGTGATCAAAGTTATAGTACAACCCTTTGGGATAACATGAGATTATGAGAAGGCTCCAAGAAAAGGACAAGGACAAAATTGAAACAAGGATAAAATGAAAATTGCATACTAATACAGTTTTACTAAGGTTAACTGTATTAATCAACTGGAGTAGCAGGAAAATTACTTTATTACAATTAAACAATCGAATAATAAGGCATTTCCTATTTTACAAACCAAAATGAATAGAATACAATACCTTGTAACTGGGGTTTGAGCAATATATTTTAGCAATATGTTTGAAATCTTGTAAGCTTAAGGATGACTTTAGTTGTCCTCCACTGAGTTTTCTTATCACTTCTTCAAAAATTCTGCTTCTGAACATTTTAATAGGTTTACTACATTAGTTTAAACCTATAGTTAAACAGAATGACACATTTATATTGCCTTATAAACATACTTAATTGTTTATTATACCCGTAGACCATTATATAGTCCAATAAATGTTCACATTAGATTGTTGCCAGTTATTCTGAAAGAAAATGGTTTAGCAAATTAATAGGAATAGATATCTCAATAGATATCTTACAAAAAAGAAATTATATAAAGTGTACCAATTTCTGAAAATGATTACTATTTTTGGTTTTAGGTAAAAAACAAGATGGTGCTATTGAAAATCGTAACAAAGGTAACAATATGACTTATATTAAAAAAATCAAATATATGTTAGAATAGCATCTTTATTTGAAATAATCAGAAATGTGTCTTAAGTTTTCAATTTCTACAGAATTCTTCATTGGTTTTTTTTTTAAAAAAAGTAAAGTAGGATTTAAAATGAATTCTGAAGAATTCAAAAGCTTGCACATTTTTTTAGGGCGTTCCTGTTTGTCCTAATGAAAGTATTACTATATTACATTTTTTCCTTCACAGTTTAAAAATAACTTATATACAAAATATTTATTGCATCTTAATTTTAAATATCAAAGATGTGATTTATGATAGTCTGTATTAAAATTACAATGTGGGCGAACAGAACTAAAAGAACAGTATTTTAAGTTTGATAAAGAATAACTTATTGGTAAACATGCTGTTTAATAATGATGGACAGAACATTTTATTGTTTAGTGTTGTGCAGATAAAAACTTTGTGAAACATATAGTTGCACTTCAGTGCAAAACGGATTGTATGGAAGTATTTGTAATTTTAGGCAGAGATTTTTGGAGTTGGAATCATTCTGTGTTAAAGTAGCTCTCCTTAAAACTGTACAAAATTAATCTCATATCTTTTATATTTACTGTAGATTTTCTGGAGCTTATTTAATTGTGTTTTTACATTCCCACTTAATCCAATCTTTAATAGGTAAATTGCCTGGCCATTCTGGCCAATTGTGTTTAAAATTCTTCCTAAAAGATAGGTGCCCTGAAATAACTTATACACTTCATCAATGCTGCGTCCAAACCATAAGATTCTGCTGTATCCAGACCCAACAACAGAAGTAGATTATTCACTCCGTAATGAGATTTGGCTGTATTCTCAGGTTGTATTGGGTTGTTTTGAAATGTATAATCTGCTCCCAAGTCATAATAAATTGTTCATTCAATTGTGCTTTTATGAATTTAGCAAAAGCTCAGGATGGTGCAGCTATGGAAATGCAACCTTTGAAGAGTGAAGATGGTATAGATGGAGATGACAAAAAAAGAAATAATATGCCTAAGAAAGAGAAATCAGTTCTACAGGGGAAACTCACAAAGCTAGCAGTTCAGATTGGCAAAGCAGGTATGACTCTTCAATTGTTACATTTCTAGAGAGAATAAAACCATGGGTTGGCATTGTGATACAGAGAATACAACAGACTAGTTGTAGATTACTGGGGCTTGTCAAATGCTAATGCTATTTAGTGCTTGCTGACTGACATTTCAGTTTGTGCTGGCGTTGGTGTAGTTGGACATCAGCTGAGATTTGTTTGTTTAGGCTTGATTTATAACATTTAAATTTTGCTTCTTTCCACAAGTTGAACCCCGGAAGTCCAACTTCTTTGCCATTTCTTTGCTTTGATCACACTATTTGAGTGTTGTCTTAATGATTCTGATTACTATGTATTGAGTTTGCCATCACCATCAATACTCCACATAAGTTACCATAATAACCATTGTACTAATTTTTAATAAGAATTGTTTTAGGGCATCATAGAACATTTAGAAACCACGTTGAATCAATCAAAATATTTTTAAAGCATATCCTTTTCTTTCTTTCGGTAGCCAAATCAATGCTCACGGGAAGCATGTTGTTCCAAAGCAGTTGCTGTTCAAATGCATTTTACCTTTATTTATTCTAGAGATGGTCTGATTAGTAGCCATTGACAATGTTTACATTCCATGATTTTCTAAACAGTAAAGCCATAAATAGGACTGCCTATCAATACTTTTTATGGCAGTAAATCCATAATGTTAACTATGTGCTGCGTACTTACTATCTTATTGTCCTTCTCTTAATAAAACCATCTTAAATGTTGTAACCCATGGGAATTGTCTAATTTTTTCATCATGTTACTTGCCATTTCTGCTTTTAGTTTCAGCTTTAAATATACACAATTAGATTTGAATAAATGTAATATAATGAATAGTTTTATTTTCAGTGTTTTTTCTAATGATCAACACAAAATTTGCCTTTTTCTTAACTGCCACATAATATTTTGACATTCCCATTGAGATAAGCCTAAAACTCAAAAACAATATCTGGATCACTCATTACCAGTTCAGGCCTCATTATATATGTGATTCAGATCTTTTTGCACTATAGATTTTGGTACTCGGAAACCATATGTGCCATTGTTCATAAAATTCTAGACTTCAAAGAGATTGTTTTAACATCTTCACAATTTTACATTACTAAGGCACAAGTTGAAGATAGGTAAGAGCTGGCTTGGCAATAGTGTGTGTGAAAAAGGTGTGGGTATCCTTAGTGATCACAAGTTAAAAACGAACCAGCAATGTGATATAGCTATTGAAAAAAAAAAAATGTTATCTTGAGGTTCAGTTAACGGGAACATAAAATCCTAATCACAGGCAATTATTGATTCACTTTACTTTGTCAGATACCACTTGAAATATTTTATCTAGTTCTGGCACTATAATTTAAAAATGGCAATGACAAACTGAGGGGAATTCAGAGAAGGCTACCAGTGGTGAAACCTGTGCAGAATTATTAAAGGAACTGGCTACATTTAGATTGCAGAAGAGATGATTGAAAAGGACATATGGCAGTAGATTTTAAATATCTGAATGGTTGTCACATAGAACAGGAAATAGACTTACTCTCTATAATTCATAAAGCCAGAACCATATTTGTTGGGTTAAAACTACAAAGAATTGGTGCAGGTTATATGTCAGGAGAAATTGACTGTACAAGTTTATTAGCCAGTAGAACAGGCAACCACATGAAAAGAAGGTGAGTTCTTTACTGAATCTTTAAACAGAACCTAAATGGTAATCTGTCAGAGATACTTTACTGAATTTCACCCTAAGGGGTTACTAGATTGCCATTAAGGTACCTTCCAATTCTATAAACTGGAAGTCTGTGAATGCTATTTAGGACTGTTATTTATATGACAAATAATTAACTAGATCTCTTTTGTTCATGAAAGGGTTGCTGATGTCTGCTGTCACAGTCATCATTCTTGTATTATATTTTGTAATTGATACCTTCTGGATCCAGAAGCGTCCTTGGCTTGCAGAATGTACACCAATATATATTCAGTATTTTGTGAAATTCTTCATCATTGGTGTTACTGTTTTGGTTGTGGCTGTTCCAGAGGGTCTTCCACTTGCAGTAACTATTTCTCTGGCTTACTCTGTAAAGGTATGAGCAAAAAATGTGATTTGGTATGTAGTGTTTTAATATGTAATAGTTAAGTATAGCAATTTTTTCCCAAAGAACTACACGTCAGTGGTATTTGTTTGAAGTGGTTATTTAATAGCCTTATTTCATTTATTTTCAAATATTATATGACATTTCAATGAAAGTCTACAAATAACTTACAACTTGGGCAGTGCAACAAACAAAACAAAATTAGTAGTCAATCATTACCAAAAGCATCAGAATTTAATATCTGAAAAAACCACCACAAACTTTCTCATAAAAATTTGTTAAATAATATTCATATTGGAAAGAGTAATAAAATTCATTCCCTAAAAACTCTGCAGAAAAGCAGCATTTGAACTGCCTTCCTGAATAGTAACAAGAAAGATGTTTCCACCTTAATAAGGTGTAGGTGGAGGGAACAACAAGAGAATTTCATTGGGTAAAGACTATCTCAGAGAAATGTTATTTCTAAGTACCCACTCTACTCAACTCCTGAATGGGCCGGATTTGCAGTATGCCTAACAGTATATGTTGGGTAGATTCTACATAGTGTAACTGGTATCAAAATATCCAAGACCCCAGCTGTTTAGAGCTTTATACATAACAGCAAGCTTCTTGAATTGGTAGACAATGCAGCGACTCCAATAAAGATAGCAGGCAAGCCAGGCAACTATGGTTTATATTAACTATAGTGGTGTCTAAGGCAGTCGCATATAGACTGGATTCCAGTAGTCTGAGTGAGAAGAGCATAAATAACAATTGGTACTACTGTCTGCTGCAAAAATCAGCTGACACATCAGCCAAAATTTAGCAAATACTTTCCTGGCCACAGCCTCCATCTGCTGCTGAACAAGAGCACAAGTATAAGAGAACTCCCAGATGGTGAACCAGCTCTTTCTGAGAGAACAGAACTAAAGATGGAACAGTACAGTATGCTACACTTCAAAGAAAAATGTGCAGAAATGACTTTGAGAGTTCCCCCATCATATGGCTTTTTGCCTTGCTTAACCTCTGGTTTGTGTAAATCCATTTCAAAGTCTTAAGTGCCTATCTAGTAATAGAACGTGATGAGGACTTCAGAGATAAAATGCCTAGGTGGAATTTGATTAAATTTTTTCTTTTTAAGAATGAGCAACAAGACAAAGGAATGATAAGAACAGTTGCAGAAAGTGTTATCAAAGCCAAAGGATACAGCCAAATATCAGAACACGGTGCATTACAAGAAAAGATGGGAGCCCCATGATGGGCATGAAGGAGAGCAACAAGCAGAAGCAGTGTGTATCATTCATCTGATCTAATGGCTGGCTCTCTTACAGTCTAGAATTAAATATAAATTTTACCTATTTATTTTTTAGAAAATATATGTATAGCCGTTCATCTTAGACCACAACTCTGGGTAGCTCGTCACAATAATAAAATTACAGTCTATATTTTTCTTTTAAAAAAAAAAAACCTGATGTCCCATCCATCTCCTAGGATGATGCCCCCATAACCATCCCTAGGTTCCCATCACTCTTATCTCAATGGCTTCTGGAAAGCTAAAAGACTGGCAGCCTGCCAGATTCTTTCCAAATGTTACAAATATGCAGTCTACTCCTTTATTTTGTCTTGTATCTGCTGGAAAATCTCCACATTTGTGTTCATATAAGAAATTCATCTTGGGAAAGATAGTAACAAATACTTTCTAAGAATGCTTTAATGCTGTTCAGACATGATTTTGTCCTTTTTTGAAACAGAAAATGATGAAAGATAACAATTTGGTCAGACATCTGGATGCTTGTGAAACAATGGGAAATGCAACAGCCATTTGCTCAGATAAAACAGGAACCCTGACAATGAACAGAATGACAGTGGTCCAGGCATATATCTCTGAAAAGCATTATAAAAAAATTCCTGAAGTGCAAGCTATTCCTGATAAAACCTTATCATATCTTGTAACAGGAATCTCTGTTAATTCTGCTTATACTTCCAAAATCTTGGTAGGTATATATTGAAAAGACACATGCTTTAACACTGAACATAATTCAATCCAAGCCAAGCAATTAATATTTTGTTAATTAAGTATATTTTAATCAAATCAAATCAATGTTTGTGTAAAGCTACTTAAATTTAACTTATTAAAGATAAATATAGTAAAATTCTTTTTAAGTATTTGTCATATTACAATATTATTTGTAGATTAACAAAACATTATTAAACTTCAAGTCCTTTCTTATAATTAATGTTAGTGGTTGAATTCTCTTGATTTTAATGGTGCTGTTAAAAATTATCATTTAAATGTAAAATGCATTTGCTCTTCAAAGGTTAACCCATTTTAAATTTATAAAGCATAACCATACTTTATTCTGGGTAATATAGCATTAATGGTCATGAAAACTGATCCTTGGCTTTATTTATTTATTATCCTGCCCTCATTGTTTTTGTAAATCAGTGTGCTGGTTTCTAGCCTGGTGCTTTAACCATTAGACCATCTATTAAAAGAGGCAAACAAATGAATATAACATATTCTTAGTATAGTGTTTTTTTTTCCCCCAAAACTGGGTTCTGCATATCCCAAGAGGTCTGTGGCTACTTAGATAAGTTCTGTGGAGCTAAAACGAGAAAACATGGGACTAAGGGTGAATCCCTTCAGAAAATTTATTTTCCCCATAATCTTCTGCAAGGGACTAAGGGGAAAACAAATTTGAACATACACAGCCATCTGATCGCACCTCAGTGCTGTTCTCAGAAATGTTTGGGGACAATTTTTCAGTTGATTTTAAGATGTTCTAGAATGTAGAAAAACATTGAAAATCTCTGTTATAGAGATACATTACAAGATACGTATTATAAGACCATATATAGAGAAGCGCCTTAAATAATTCACCAAACCAAATATAATCCATATTTGGCAGCTGGCAAATTCTCTGCAGTAGCCCCCATCCAGGTTTTGCAATCCCCAGTAGGCAGCAAAAACAATTTTATTGAGAAGCTATGAGCATGGTTAGTAAATTGAATCTTACTTACAATGTGTCAATTTATGTAAGCTTCCACAACTACAAACCAACATTTTGTGGTAATATATGATTATGTTTTAGATTGTAGTAGCTTATAACAATTATGTAGTTTGATCTAATTAAAAAGACTTCTCATTGGGAAAACAGGGATATAAAAATAGGAAATGATATGTGTATGGAGGGGAAGGGTGTGTGGCTTATTGAGAAGTTATCTCTATCAATTGCTTATCCAAGATTAAAATATACCTTTAATATTGCACATGGACAAAAATGTCAGATGTTTTTTCGTAATTAATTTATCTGACTCTCCAAATGTGAATAAATCTTGAAGACAAATGGCAATTATCCCACTGAGCTTTTAATATTCTACAAAATGTGCTTCATTTTAGTTTCCGTAGTGTGTTTCTTGAGAAATGTGCTTTCGTTGAAGCTAAATGTAAGACATTTAATTTGAGCACAGAATTCATAATTCATAAACTGTTTCCAAAAGGTTAAATTCTAAATTATTGTAGCAAATTAAATTCTAAATGATTGAAGCAAATTCCTAGTCAAAAAGACTGCTTTGTCTTTCAGCCTCCTGAAAAAGAAGGTGGCCTTCCTCGCCATGTTGGTAATAAAACTGAATGTGCCTTGCTGGGATTCCTTCTGGATTTAAAACGAGATTACCAGGAAGTTAGAAATGAAATACCAGAAGAAGCACTCTATAAAGTCTACACCTTCAACTCTGTTAGGAAATCTATGAGTACTGTGTTAAAGAACTCTGATGGCAGTTTCCGGATCTTCAGCAAGGGTGCTTCAGAGATAGTACTTAAAAAGCAAGTTAGCTTTTGTATTTGGGAACTCTTTGTATTGTTGAAATGATATTCCCTGGCATTTAAATCACTCTATTATACATATTTGATTAAATATGTGAAAGGGTATACTCTGCCAGTTAAACACTGTATTTGTAACTTCTCAGTAGCCTTTAAACCTGGAATAATATATTCTATTTAGAATATTTGCTTTGCTGATAAAGTTGAACAAGTGGCCTTCAAAGTGAATATTAGGCTGTTTTTAATCTGTATTAGCAATTGAATGCTTTTGATTTTTAGATTAATTTATAAATTATTTCTTTAACACAGTTCCTTAATTTTAGAAATAGTTAAGTCTTCCTTGGCCATTCCTGCAAGAGGGGATATTCCCAGGACCTTTTAAGGAGGCTCTGGTTTGTCCTCTCCTTAAGAAACCACCACTCGACCCCATCTGCCTGGACAAATTTTTGTCCAGTTTCCCATCTTCCCTTTTTAGAGAAAGTAGTGGAAAAGGTGGATGTTTGACAGCTCCAAAGAATCCTGGGTGAAACAGATTTCCTGGACCCCTTTAAATCTGGATTCAGGCCTGGCTATGGGACAGAGACAGCCTTGGTCGCACTTAAGGACGATCTCTGGTGAGACCGTAAAGAAGGTAGTGCAACCATTCTCACTCTTCTTGGCCTCTCAGCAGCCTTCAATACCATCAGCCATGGTATCCTTTTGGGACAGTTTTGCAAGTTAGGGCTTGTCGGCATTTTTAAATTATTTCAGTTCTTTTTCTGAGGTCCTTCCCAATTGGTATTGATAGGGAATGAAAAATCCAACCAACCACTTACTTGCGGCTTCCCGCAAGGCTTGGTACTCTCTACTCTCCTATTTAACATCTACATGAAGCCACTGGGAGAGATCATCCCTCACCATGAGTTGAGATATTATCGATATGCTGATCATACTCAACTCTACATTTCTATATGTGGTGACCCAAGTGATGCTGTCTCTGTCCTCTTGTGATGCCTGGAGACTGTGGGGTCCTGGGTAGGGAACAATAGACTTCTGTACACTGGCAAAACTGAGTGGAGTTCAGTGCATGGAACCTCAGGATCCTGGGCTTTGTCATCTCTGGTTCTGGATGGGGTTACATTTCTCTGTTCAGACCCAGTTCACAAGAGTGGATTTGAGTGCATGGATCCTGGGCTTTGTCAGGATCCTGGGCTTTGTCATCTCTGGTTCTGGATGGGGTTACATTTCTCAGTTCAGACCCAGTTCACAATTTGGGGGTTCTCCTGGACTCATGTCTCCTGCTGTAAGAGTAAGTAGCAGGTGTGACTAGGAGAGCTTTTACACACTCCGGTTTTTGCACAAGCTGTGATCTTTCCTAGATCTTGACTTTCTTTTACTCAAGCCCTGGTCATCTCTCATCTGGACTACTGCAATGCACTTGACATGGAGCTACCCTTGAAATCCATTTGGAAGCTTCAATTGAGCAAAATGCGGCAGTGAGAGCAGTTTTTGAAGTCCCTAGTATGGCTCACATTACACCACTGCTCTGGAAACTACATTGGCTACCAGTCTGCTTCCAAGTGCAGTTCAAGGTGTTGGTTATGGCTTTTAAAGCTCTTAATAGCATAGGTCCAGGCTACCTGATGAACCATATTGTCCCTGTAAGTCTTTCCCATCCTACATGGGCTGGTAGAGAGGGCCTACTGCAGATCCCATCGGTCAAAGAACTCTGACTGTTGGGATCCAGAGGAAGAGGCTTTCTTTGCCACAGCAACCACCCTTTGGAACATCCTGCCCTCCAGGGTAAAATCTGCCCCCAGTCTCCTATCCTTCTATAAGAGCCTAAAGACCTGGCTCTGCAAGTCGACCTGGGGACCCATTGGGGGAGTTTATCTCTGGAGGCGGCTGCTAGATTAACAGCAGATTCAGCCTCACCACCCACCTCCCCAAACTCTGTTGCCCACTCATCCATCTTTTTTTACTAACCATACTGGTGTATTTTCTTTGTTTTCTTTTTCTTTGATTATTTTATTATTCTATTTTACTTTTGCTTTGTTTGAATTTCCTTTTTATTTCTTCATTTTTGTATGGTTGTGAGCTGCCCAGAGTAGTCCCAGAGTGAAATAAGCGGCAAATAAATTTAATGATAATAAAAACATTTCCATTTTTTCCATTTTTATTTGAATTAACATAGCCAAGCTGAATATATTCTTCTTTATTATTTTTAAGTGCAAAACTGGATTGATGATTGTACAGTTGGGTATGAATGCATTAGATAAAAAGAAAAGTTAGAATGCACTTTGTGCAGTTATAGTCCCATAATCTCTTAATTTCTGCTAGTATTATGAATTTTATTATTTACTGCTGAAAATAATGGTAAATTTGCTAGGAAGCTTTTGCCAGTTCAGTTCTTGTGCAATTTCCTTATTGTGCCTTATTTATAGAATCTTGTAGTTAGCTCTAGCTGTGAATGTACTTCACAGGGAGAAAAATGCATTTTGAAGGCTTATTATTATTCTGTTAATAAACAAATTGACAGATAGTGAAATAAGTATAGCACCTCTTGTTTGAAAAGGTTGTTTTATACTTACCATTTTTTTATGCTCTCTCGTCAATTTTTATGCTATCTAGTCGATTTGACTCTTGGTAACTGCCTGGATCTTATCTTGGCAAGACTGCCTCTTTCTTATGGCTAAGGGAGAGTAATTGGCTCATAGTCACCCAATTCGCTTTGTGTTTCAGATGGGTCTAGAACTCACGATCTCCCAGTTTCTAGCTTGATGCCTTAACTACGCCAAACTGGCTCTTATGTCTTATTGTTTTTAAACTTTAGACTATGCATCAGAATATTTCTACTTAGGGATCTTCTGAGCTCATCCCAAACCATGTTACGTACATTATGAATTCATAGCAATTTAGAACAAATTACACATTATCCTTTTCATAATTTTTCCTAACATTCTCCCAATTTTTCTTCATCATTAAACCCTGGTACACCTTTTTTACACATTGTTCAGTTGAGTTAAACAAAATTTCCATGAATTAAAAATATTTGAAAAACCTATTAAGCATTGAGAGTGAATTCTTTTAGTTGGAAGAGATTTCATTGACATTCAGAACCTTGAAATGGATTGTATTTTATTTGTAGGTGTTTCAAGATACTAAGTGCTAATGGTGAACCAAAAGTATTCAGACCAAGAGACCGTGATGATATTGTAAAAACTGTTATAGAACCTATGGCATCAGAGGGACTCAGAACTATATGTCTAGCATTCCGAGACTTCCCAGCTGGAGAACCTGAACCAGAATGGGATAATGAAAATGATATTGTCACTGGTCTTACATGTATTGCTGTTGTAGGCATTGAAGATCCTGTGAGACCTGAGGTAGGGCAAAATATTGTTTATCATGGTTTAAGCATTTAATAATGATTGATTTAAACTTGTCTTCCAAGCCTTTCTGGAAATGAGTAATATCTATTCTAAGTACTGTTTTTAGTGGAAAGTAGATTAACTCCCACATATCCTTTGTTCTTTATTTAAGGTTAGTGATTGAATAACATTCATTATAATATGCATATATATTTAATTTAAAATTGCTTAGATGTCACAGAAATAGTTTCTTACTCATTTTGAAAAAATGCAGATGTTATATGTTTGTGCTATATGATGTGATTGGTATAGTTTTACTTTTTATACCTGTTGCCTAAGAACTAGGTTTTGCCTCAGTAATACAGTAAATTCTTTGTGCATCAATTAAATAGTAACATGTTCCAGTCTCTTATTTTGCCTGAACCTGTTAGTAAGTCAGCTTAGGGTAAGCATAAAATCTTATACTGAGTAACATTCAATGAGCTGACTGTCTCAGATGTACCAGCAGTTGTATTAGTGCCCTTCTAAGATTTTAAGTTGCAATTTCCAGATTACTTACTTTGGGGTTCAGAGATTGATGGCAGTTTAATTCCCAAACATTGGGAGGATACCAATTGCCTAACTGTGACCTTAGGAACATTATAATCACACATCATCATAGTTAATGTATATTTTTAGGACTTGAAAGAAAAAGTTAGGGATAGATCATCATAGACGAAATCTATGTGATCACTAGGAGCAATTTTATGACACATAATCAAATATATATATATGTATTATATCAGCATTGTAATATAAATAACAAAGTTATTGACAGATACATGGAATTAAATCTTAGTATTTTAGCCAAAAGCAGGTTAACACTTTTTAAATTAATCATTACTGAGAAATAACTACATAATTAGCTTTTCCCTCTCCTTAGGTACCAGATGCAATTAAGAAATGCCAGCGTGCTGGTATAACTGTCCGTATGGTTACTGGTGACAATATTAACACTGCTCGTGCTATTGCGTTAAAATGTGGAATTTTGCATCCTGGTGAAGACTTCTTATGCCTGGAAGGCAAAGAATTCAATAGACGAATACGTAATGAAAAAGGAGAGGTGGGTATGGTTAATATTCTTTTTTTGACTTATGAAAACTTAGTTATGAAATTAATCTAAGTTATCTTTACAGATAGAACAGGAGCGAATAGACAAAATTTGGCCCAAACTTCGGGTACTTGCAAGGTCTTCTCCCACTGACAAACATACACTGGTGAAAGGTAAATACATTTTCTAACAGATTTTACAAACATCTTTTTGGTCAATCATTTCTTCAGTAGCTGGAAACACTCTTGAGAAATAGAAGACTATATCTTACTGTACAGCATAAATATTGGATTTAGACAGAAATTTACTCAATTTCAGTAAATGAATGAATAAATTATTGAAATTCGTAATGTTTAATATAAATATGTACTGTTATAACAAATACTTGTTGTTGTTTTTAGGAATAATAGATAGCACAGTTTCAGAACAAAGGCAGGTTGTAGCAGTGACTGGTGATGGAACCAATGATGGCCCAGCATTAAAAAAAGCAGATGTTGGCTTTGCTATGGTAAGGAGTTTAACAAGTATTATAATTATTACTAATAAATGCTTTTATAAACTGAAATTTCTAAGTTATGATGTTAACATTATATTGAAGACTGAATGAGATTAGTTCACATTTGGCAGTGGGAAAAGCTGATTGTAGTTTTCTGTGTTCCTTGTCATTTTCTGCTAAGTTTACCTTGGGATAATTGCACAATTAATGATGAGGTCCAAATTTGATGCCCATATAGAAAATCACAATCCTTATAAACAGCAGTTGAGTGTCTGTTCAGAGAGACGGAAATAGTAATGCAGGTTTTTTTCTGGCTAAAAATGATAAAATATGTTTCCAATTTTTCTTGAGAGTAAATTTAAAATTATATATAATTAATGTGAAAAATGTACAAAAACATTAGATTATAGATGTATTCTGATATTAATAATTAAAATAGGTATAATTCTTGGAATATTTCTGAGAATGATACTAAAATGACTGGGGAGGGAATCACATGATAACTTAAAACTTGAAACTAGGAACGCTTTTACAAGGATAATCATTTTCAAGTTTGGTGTAGGATTGTATTGTATTCTATGTTAACTTTAAAGGCATTGAGTACATAATTCTAAGATCAGTATTCTTTTTCTTTTTGCAGTAACATGCATCTAAGATAAATGTGGTCTTTTATTTATTAGAATTTGATGACAGTTATATTATTTAACAGGATATTGAACAATCAAATGAGTCAACATCTTTTTATAATGTGGAATCTGTAACATTATATTTTTTCTAAGGACTAAAAATCAGATAGTCTAGTATACCTGTGAGCTTTTAAGTTGCAGGTACTTCCCATACCATTGTTATGCAGATTTTATATAATATATTTTCATTTAACTGAGGCATTGGGGAAAACAGGCAAGCTTCTATTATTGCATATGATATCAGAAACAAGTGTCCTATTCTGAACAGCTAAATATCTGTTTCTCAAGTGATTTGTCAAAGTTTTAAGAAACCCACACCTTAAATCCAAAACATACTGCACACTGCCTGCTTGACCTAGACTATGCATAACTTAATTAATCTAAATTAAATGCTCAGAAGCTATTCTCCTGTGCCATCTACTGGCTTTGAGGGTAATCTGGAATTAGAAATCAAAGTACTTAACACAATAGCCATTTTTATTTTTTAAATTGAACAATAAATGTCCAAAATATTAGAGGAGGCAGGTAAATCTTTGTGTAATTCTCATTACTACTATCAAATAATAATAGCTTAAAAATGGCACATCATTTTTAATTCCTTTCCAATATAGGTAGTCCTCGATTTATAACCAATTTGATTGCTTGGCAACTGGCATGTATTTATGACAATTGCACTTTCCCAGAGTCATGTGATCATGATATGTAACCTTTCCAGTAGGCTTCCAAAAAGCAGAGTCAATGGGGGAAGCCAGGTTCACTTAATGACCACATAATTCACTTAACTGCAATGATTCACTTAAAAACTCTGGCAAAAAAGGGTCATAAAATGAGATGCAACTAACTTAACTACATTGCTTAGCGGTGGAAATTTTCAGCTCAATTGTGGTTGAGAACTACCTGTAGAAAAAAATTCAATTTTAAAAAACTGTAAGAATATTGCAGTGTTGCAGTTATGTACATAGGTATATTTAGCTAAGTACCACTGAATTCAGTTTATATGACAGAATCATCAGTAAGATTTTTCATAATAGCTTCCACTGCAGTTGATCTTTTTGCATAAATATTGATATAATACTATCTAGCTTAAAAAAGTGAGTATGATAAAATAATTTGACTTCGCTTAAATTTCATGCTAATGAGAAGTTTTTCATTATTCAAGATTTTAAAAGTGTATTAACAGTTGAAAAAACAAAATTATTAGCTCTAATCCAGAGTATTCAAGAATTGTTTGATCATACCATGTAATTACTTACATGGTAATTTATAACTCAACAAGGAATTGTATGGTACCAAATGAATGTATTGGAAGAACAAATATGAAGGAACTTGTCCCTACTCTGTTCCTCAGAATAAATGGTAGGCCGTAAAGAAAGTCTTCTCTACATGTCACAGACTGCAGGAAGAGTGAAATATTTTTCTATTCTTCCTTATTTTTTTTATTAATAACAGATGTGAGTAGTATACATGTGGGCTGTCATAATACTCAAGGACAGTATTGTAATTTTGTTTTGTTTTCTCCTTCAGGGCATTGCTGGAACTGATGTAGCTAAAGAAGCTTCTGATATTATTCTTACAGATGACAACTTCTCAAGCATTGTTAAAGCAGTTATGTGGGGGCGAAATGTGTATGATAGTATCTCCAAATTCCTTCAGTTCCAGCTTACTGTTAATGTAGTAGCTGTAATTGTTGCTTTCACAGGAGCATGTATTACACAAGTAGGTATTATATATTTATTTTCATGTAATGGGATTAAATCAGCTTGAATCAATGTGGTTAATTTTGAGAGTGATTTCTTATTTGGTAGATTTATGTCTCACCCTTTCTCCAGTTCATGAAGCTCTTAAATCTATTTATCCCATAAAAATGTTCCTGTAAGGGAGCTGGGTTGAAAAAGAGTAACAGCCCAAAGTAATGCAGAGTTTCCATGGCCAATATGGAATTAAAAACTGGGTGGATTTTTCTACTCTTAACTTAACATCTTAATCATTGCATCAGGTTTAAGTACAATAATGAACCTGATTAGAAATATTAAATGTTAGATAACTTGATTTGTTAGAATATTTGTGATTATATTAGAAAACATGTTGATTTTACAGGATTCTCCACTTAAAGCTGTTCAGATGTTATGGTAAATCTCATAATGGATACCCTGGCTTCACTTGCTTTGGCAACAGAACCCCCCACAGAAGCACTTTTGCTGAGAAAACCTTATGGTAGAAATAAACCTCTCATCTCACGGACCATGATGAAGAATATTCTGGGCCATGCTTTCTATCAGCTTGTGGTTGTCTTCACACTGTTGTTTGCTGGTAAGAATATTGTAATTTAAACCTCTGTGGTATACTTTCTGAACTATGCTTGCATTATTTTGAGCATTTTTTCAATACTTAAAGGAATGTTAAAGAACATTGACATGTTAATAGAATGTTAAAAGAGAAAGAAATGTTAAAAGAAGACTAAAGGAATGTTTACAACCCCCCCTCATGAATTTGGGTGGCATTTTGAGAATATTTATCTCTTGTTTACAGGTGAAAAAATCTTTGATATTGATAGTGGAAGAAATGCACCTCTTCATGCTCCTCCTTCAGAGCACTACACAATTGTGTTTAATACATTTGTGATGATGCAGCTATTTAATGAAATAAATGCCCGAAAAATTCATGGTGAAAGGAATGTATTTGAAGGAATTTTCAATAATGCTATATTCTGTACTATAGTTCTTGGAACATTTATTGTACAGGTGAGTACATTTTTTAAAATAAAGTCATGCAGAATTTGGAGGATTAAGAGTTTTTAGAGGCCAATGATTGTTGTATTTATAATCAGTATTAGGGTAGGGCATCCTCTGAGAGTTCAGAATTTCTTTAAATATAAAACATATTCTTATCTGTATGTGTCACATTAGAGGATAATTTGACCTGTGCAAATGTGGTTTTATAATTGATAGTATGCTTATAGAAATATTTTTGTTAATGTTAATTTTTAATATTGCTATTAAAGACATAATATGCTCATATCGCACTCATGTTGGCTTATGGCAAACTTTATAATGAGAATGTGATCATATAATAATAGCTGTCATGGTGCAGTGGTTAGAATGCAGTATTGCAAGCTAACTCTGCCCAATGCCAGGAGTTCAGTGCTGACCAGCTCAAGACTGACTCAGTTTTCCATCCTTCTGAGGTTGGTAAAATGTGGACCCAGATTGTTGGGGGCAATATGCTGACTTGTAAACTGCTTAGAGAATGCTGTAAAGCACTGTGAAGCAGTGTATGTCTAACTGCTGTTGGTATAATTTAGTATTATAAAAATCAAAATGTTATTAACTTATCTTTAAACACAACATAGGGTTATTTATAACCTAGTTATGCATTATAATTATTTAAGGGAGATTTCCTTCGGGTCGTCCTTCAGTCCAAGGAAAAGAGGTGTTCATCTGAGAGTTATCTCAGTGATGGAGCCCAGTTGTGAAATCTTTTGCCCCAGAGATAAATAATGCTGGAAGTTCTGGTGTAGAACAATATATTCTTCTTCAGTAAAAGCAAGAAGTTTATATATTCAGAAGGGAAACCAGAGGAAAGAGAATATTTAGTTGTTGACCATCAGTTTTGTATGCTAGAAGTGTAAAATAATGGAAGGAACATATAGATGTATATATTGGCTTGTCTGACATTTGTTAATTTGATTTGAGAAAAGTAATAAGTTTTTAAAATCAATGTTATCTGGAATTACACAGTGAAAATTACAGGAACTGGACATGCTAGTCTAGTGAAGAGAAAGACCAGGGGAGACATGATAGCAGTGTTCCAATATTTGAGGGGCTATAACAGAGAGGAGGGGATTAACCTATTTTCCAGGCCAGACAAGGAATAATAGATGGAAACTGATCAATGAGAGATTCAGCCTGGAAATTAGGAGAAATTTTCTGACGGTGAGAACAATTAACCAGTGGAACAGATTGCTTTCAGACATTGTGGAAGCTTCATCACTGGAAGGTTTCAAGAAGAGGCTGGACTGCCATCTGTCAGAAATGGTATAGGGTCTCCTGCTTAGACAGGGTTTTGGACTAGATGACCTACAAGATCCTTTCCAACTCTGTTATTCTACTCTGTCTAAAATTGGAAGCCATAGAAGATAATCTTGGATTTGTGAAGCTTAGGGTACAGCAGAAAACAGCTTTTTACAATTGGAAGCAGAGCCATTCCAATTTTACAGTTTTAGACTGATGACATGTGTCCACTGTCTGTTTATGAATTGGTTCATGTAATGGCTAGAATTACCAATATTATGCTGTGTGTTCGATTTCATGCTGTCTGTTTTAGATAGATACCTTTTTGTTTTCTTTTCATTGTCTTTATCATATACCCCTTCCTTTTATATACTAAAGCAATCATAGATCTTTTAAAATAGTTAACTGTATTTATATCATAAAAGCCAATACCTTCATTTTTTATCATTTCAAATAGCTAATACAATCATTATTTTTCTTAACAGATAGTTATTGTACAGTTTGGTGGGAAGCCTTTCAGTTGCTCTGAGCTTACAGTAGAACAGTGGTTGTGGTCAATTTTTCTAGGAATGGGAACACTTCTTTGGGGCCAGGTATGTAATACTACTTTTGCAGTACAGTTCCTCAAATTACCAAGACTGTGTTTTGAAATGCATTTTACTCAGTATATGGCTTTTTCATTGTCATTATTTTTCTTCATGCTGCCCTACTATTGCTGTTTTAAACTTTGAAATTTCAGAACAATATGGAAAAGAAAGCAAGTGATACAGTCTTTTCATTATGCATCCAAATGCGTAAGAGTATTATGCTGCAATACTGACTAGCTATGATTTGTTTAATACCTCTCCAAAGAAAACAATGAAAAACTTTAAGCTAGCTGTTTCTTATTTGAAGCCATTTAGGGAGGGGGGACAGTCTGTCACTAGTTCTAAAAGGGAATTTGAACGTAAGGGAAAGTTTTCATAAATATGTTATTTTTTTTGTTCCCCATTGTTATAGTTGATATCAAGTATTCCAACCAGTCATTTGAAATTCCTTAAAGAAGCTGGCCATGGAACACAAAAGGAAGAGATTCCTGAAGAAGAGTTAGCAGAAGATGTGGAAGAAATTGATCATGCTGAAAGAGAGCTAAGGCGTGGTCAGATCTTATGGTTTAGGGGTCTAAACAGGATACAAACTCAGGTATGGTCTTGTAAAGGTAGGAAATAGGGTTGAGGACTTGAGATTTCCTCATTGTTCTTAGTACTGATTTGGATTGTAGTCATAAAATGTGTGATTGAAATCTTTATATGGGAAAAGTATTAGCTGTTTAATGCTTCAAATTCCTTCTTTACTTCATCACCAAATGTGCTTCTTGCCTCTTTACCTGCTCTGTAAAAGTGCCTTTTTTCTTTACTTTTTATGTGTTGTAGATGGGATGCTCCTTTCTCTTGTTCTCTCTCTCTCTTGCTGAGCAAGCTGTCACAATCTCTGATTCCTTGCAGATGGATGTAGTGAATGCTTTCCAGAGTGGAACTTCCATTCAGGGGGCTCTAAGGCGGCAACCTTCCATCGCCAGTCAGCATCATGATGTAACAAATATTTCTACCCCTACACATGTAGTGTTTTCCTCTACCACTACTACTACTACTACTGCTTCTACTACTGTGGGGTGTGAGTGTGTGTTCATAAGTGCATGAAATTAACATTTTCCTAGTTCACACATGTAACGTTTCATTCTTTCCTTCAGTGGTTAAATTCATCATTAACTTTTTTTCACATTTTTACCTTCAAAATGGGAGTCCTAAAGCCCCCTTCTCCTTTTTAAAGGGTCACAGTTCAAGTGGAACAATTGAAACAATTCTATACAATAAAAAACTTGACCGTGCACATAGCACCTTCATACTTGCACAGAAGAGACCTTTTTGAAAAATATTTATAGTAATTGCTACAAATATTTGAGTATATGTCTTGAAGTCTGTAAACAAAAAGATCTACAAACTTGTTTAGTGAAATGCTTAAAGCTGGTCCAAGATAAATAGATTATTTTCATGTTTACTTTTGTAATTTCAGTATAATTTATAGATCATGAGGGAAAGGACTTTAATTTGCAGCTGCAAAAATAGCACATATATTTTTCATAAAGATTGTTATTTTATATGCTAAGCTCCTTCCAGTGTTAGCAGTATTTAAAGTGAAAATACATAAATTAGTGCTAGAAATATTAAAATTAAAATGGCCTTTACTATATGTAAAAAATTTGTTTTATGCGTGTTATTAAAAGCCTTGTTCAACTCTCCCAACAATGTCACTGAAATGACATTGGCCTTTTGCAGACATTCACATATTCAGTGGTGATGTTTACAGATAAGAAAATCTTCACTGGCAGGCATGTTATGCAGAATGCCGGATGGTGACCATTCCATGTAATGCCTGAGTGGAATTAACAATCTTTAGCTATGGAAAAAAATACATATACATAAATGTGCCATTCTATAAAGAGTTTACATTCATGGCACAAATGAAAAAGAACTATAGAGATAGAATTAAGAAGTAGGTCTGTTCTATCCAGTTTCTAATGGAGGCTTTTGATAGACATTACTTCCCAAAAGAGACTTTAATATCTGTGGATCATAATTTAAAGTTCCATCTGAAATAGTAGAAACGCAAAAAATATAATGGATATAATACCAGACTCAAGTTAAATATTCTGAATGTAAGTTGATCATATGTTGGGTTTCATAGTATTGAAATTGTAAACATGAGGTCTATTCTGAATTGCTTATTATGGATGATAAAAGCCATTTTTCCTTTTATTCATATTCCTGTTTTCTCCATTATTAATTGTGTTCAACTTACCTTACTTATTTCAACCTGAATATTAATGGAAATGTCCTGTGCTTATAGGAACTTTCCATTAATATTTGTAAAAAGCATCTTTCTTACTGTTCATCAATTACTTAAAGCAATAGTTTGAAATGCCTCACAATTTACTTCAATTACCACTCTACTATCACAGTTTGGTTTTCAAAACGTTGGAGCCGTTTTGAACAGGGAGAAGCTTTAGAGTGAGGTTGGAAAAAGAACTAGAGTTGTTTATATCTACAGCACTTCAGCATTAACTGTATTGGCATCTGCAGGATATGGGAAGTCTTAATTGAGCAAATACCTGCTTCCAAAAACAGCTGTCTCTTTTTGTTTCATTATCAAGCTAGATGACATCATCGGTTACTTAGCTTGGTAATGCAATGTCTATAGCAGGCATGTCAAACTCATGATGCAACATATCGTGACTTTTTCCCCATTGCCGGCAATGTGATGGGCGCGGTTTTAGTATGATGCATCCGGCCCACGGGCTGGCAGTTTGACATGCCTGGTCTATAGGAAGAGAAGCAACCTCAAAAAAACCCCCAAGAACCCAATAAATAAAAATGTTTAGCTAGGCATGTGCACACCATTAATTTTAACAACCTTGATGAGAAATATTTATTTTCTAGTGATGATCTAGAATTTACTGTATATAAAAAATGGCAACTAAGATATTTGAAACAAAAGGCTAAAAACATATCAAAAAGTATTTAAAATATGTTTACATAATCATGACTCCGCTCATATTTTTGTCATTTGAGCATATATACATAATATGGCTGAAATATTTGCATTGTTTCATATGGGCCATTTTTATCATACATTTCTTGTTCCTACAAATTATGGCACTCATTTCTATGAAATTATTTTTATGTGACATATACTCAAATATTTAGATTAAATCCAGCAAGCTTGAACAAGCGTGTATTACACTGAACTTTTCATAGCTCAAATCACAGTTCCCAGCATTTCTTTAAAAAAAAAAACCTTTAAAAATTCTTGAAGCCCTGCCAGTAGTCTATAATTCCATATTCTAGAAGTCTAGTATTTCTTCTATGTGTTTAAAATGGAGTAGAATTTATCAATTGGCTTAAATTTTTCACCATTTCATATTAGTTATAAAAGTAGATAGCTTCAATTTTGTAGCTAGACATTTTGAACCAATTTTGTTACATTTATTTCTGCTATAGCCTGATAGTGCTCTTCTGAAATGCTCTTCATTTTTATTTATTTTTTTACAGTTTATTTCAAGTTCCACTGCATTATATAAATTCAATTCACTCGTCTTACCTATTTGTGGATTTAAACTCATAAAACAACGTTCTCCCAAGGAAATATTATTAAACAGTAACACTTACACTTTTCATACTTGCAGATCCGAGTGGTGAATGCATTTCGTAGTTCCTTATATGAAGGATTGGAAAAACCTGAATCCCGAAGTTCAATCCACAATTTTATGACTCATCCTGAGTTTAGAATAGAAGATTCTGAAACTCATATTCCACTTATTGATGATACTGATGCTGAAGATGATGCTCCAACAAAACGCAACTCAACTCCTCTTCCACCGTCACCCAACAAAAATAACAATGCGGTTAATAGTGGAATTCATCTTACGACAGACTTGAGTAAGTCTGCTACCTCTTCATCCGCAGGGAGCCCACTGCATAGTTTGGAAACATCACTCTGATTGTATGCTGAATGTTAACACACTAGCTGCATTTAAAGAAACACACTGAAACTGGGCTTTTTCCCTCATTATGATGGACAAGATGGTATTCTTGTCTCGGACTTCAACAAGAAGATAAAATCGTACGAATGTAGATTTATTTTTTTAAAAAGAAGCTTTCTGCCAGACTTCAGGGTGCTTTTCTGGGGAGGGGAAAGTGGGAGTAATAATGAACTCTGACAGATAAACAGTAACTTGCTTATGTGTCCTGTGGATCATTAGCTGTACTTAAGAATGGCCCATAAGAATGTCTTACCAGAACTTATGTTCTTAATTCCTTTGAGGAGAGGGCTGGATTGGGCAGAAGAGCCCAGGATCACCAAATTTATAATTTTCATTTCTGCTGTTGGCTGTTAATAATTATTTATGTTTATAAATAATGCAGATCTGTTTACAAGGTTTGTAGATACTTTTTTGTTCCTGTTCAGAGATGGGAAGTTTCCTTATAAATGATGTAGAAAAAATTAGTCCATCAAATACTGCTGTATTTTCAGGAAAGGGTGTTTCTATTGAAACTGTACTAAAATTTTGCCTGCAATTTACTTTGTTAAATATTGTAGATAAAATTGCTACTACTAATAGCCAAATAGATAACACTAATGCTTTGTAAAAACATGAGCAATGGTGTTCTAATGAAGTTATGGCCTCTGTCCTAATTAGTTTCTTAAACATTTACTATTTAATGGTTTTGAAACAATTGTAAAAAATTTAAAAATTCAGAACTTGCTGAACATGTTCAGAATTTAATAGAGGATTGTTTAATGCAGGACCTATGATGGAACTTGCTTGAAATACTTCTGTTATCTCAGGCAAAATGGATTAAATCAAAATACATCAGAATCTTAGTCCTTTTTGTTTTTGTCTAGAAACAGTAGCTTGGTGAACTGTGAGTGGAGCTGTTTATTTTTCTGACCTAAATATCTTTATAGCATGAAGGCTATTGGTATTTGGAAAGTTATGAATAGTTACCATACACTGCTTTCAAATTCATTTGAGTTAAAATAAATCACCCCTTTTGATAAAATAAATATGCGGCAATGTTTTTTACAGAATCCAGCATTTTTACAAATATTAGGTTTTGGTGGCTTCACTAGATGCTAAAGAACAAAAACTGTGGACTGTTTCTGATTTTATGCAGAAGAGGTGCTCTGGAATACATGGAAGTATGAATACAACATCTATCTGTAACACTTTAAAGCTGCCATGCAGTCCAAGAAAAAAAAAGTTGTAGATAGATTTTCTTTGCATTCCTGCATGTTCCAAAACCCTTATTGCTGATCTGATCTGAAGCACTGCACAGTCCAATCCTCATTCACAAGAGTGAGAGAGAGAAATAAATCACCATAGAAACTTTTTCCACTCTAAAAGAAAATATGAATAAAAGTATGTTCTCTTGTATGCCTATCTTTGACAATTTGTTTTTCTTAACCAATAATAGAAAGTGTCCATTTTTCTTTTTGTGTTTATTATCACAAATTTAATTTTGTGTTAAAATTATTATCTAATTTTAATTTTTGATTTCTAATGATTTGGGATATATATTTTTTTCTTTTTGCCAATATAGCCCATAGAGTAAGGATAAATAACTTACTGAAAATATAGGGCAGGTAAGCAGAAACAAGATCCTCTGTGATAATATCTTATATTTTCTCAATCATGACAGAATAATTTTCTACTCTTCAGAATGATCTACTTATAATTTTTTTGCAAAGAGATGTATATTCCTCATAAGAGAACCTGGAATATGTCTGCTGCTAAACCAGACATTAACTTGTCAGGGAACTGAGCTAACAAAGGAAGAAGAGAATGAATGCATCTTAAATTTAGTATATAGTATTTAAGCACCTCAAGAATATGATAGTCACATCTGTGAGCATTAGCTTGTCTTCTGGGGAAGCAATTTGAAACCCATGTAATATTACAGCTAGATTTTATAATTCAGTTTTCAAGTAAAATATACAGGGATTTGATAATGGTTAATTGTCCTTTCATTGGACACTATATCCATCCATAAGATTTTGCATATTGTATCCAATTATCAATCATTCATTTTCTAGTTGGTTTGTCCTTTATCATATTTAGAGAAGATACTATTTATGCTGATTCTTTATACAGTAATTATTTTCAGATTCTTATTTTGTAAGTGGGTAAGAAGTATGGTTTGGAAAGGTAGTATTTATGTAACTGGGAGAATGATGTAACTGCAACACACATTGAAGAATGAGATGTAATTGTTCAAACTATCTCAGCTGTGTATGATTCATTATAGTTGTCATTTTTAAAACTTATTTGGAAAGATTTTCTTTTCTTTTAATGGTAATAATCATTATTTGAATGTCCAAACTCTAGAGTTAATTCTACAGGTCATACCTCAAGGAGAAATTTAATTTACTCACAAATTAACTTTTTCAATCCTGTTGACTGCAGTACATTGAGTCTTAATAGTAAGTGTAATCTAATACCAAGAATATTTGTTCTATAATTTTACTACTATGAAAGCAACATAATTTCATTATTTATTAAAGTAGTCATTACTGTTTCTCAATTACTGACCCCACATTGCTTTTCCGGGTTGTAAGGCTTACTTTCATTTTGCTTGATGTAACTTAAATAAATAAATATGCTGTTTATCTGTCTCTGGATGGGGACTGAAATCTCTGAAAATATTTTACTTGAAATACATAATTTTATTCTGAATATATAGTTCGTTCTGTATCTGACCTTCTACTTTGTGATATGTATCTCATTAGGATTTCAATTTGAAATATTTGAATTAAATTTAGTTAAATGTATGGATTCAAACCAAATTAATATTCAAGACAAATTAACCTTGCAAAAATTATTAACAGAATAGACTCAATATTAGATAATAATCTGAACTGATTGCATATATTGATACAGCGGCAATGTATACTACTACAAGATGAAGCAACAATCTGATAGCTTTCCATTTTGTTGTGTTTGAATCCACTTTGTTCTTTTGAAATAACATGAAGGATTTCTGTGTTTTTTATAGCATAAAATAGGGAATTGGAAATACAAAAGGGGAATTGGCAGAACCATTTACAATTAGTTGTTTAGTTTTCAACCCAAAATCTAACTGCTTTAGAATTTAGTATAAAAATGATGGTTCAGTTGTAGGCATTGTGTCACTTTCTACATGACATGGAAATTAGTGATAAGAAAGTTAGTTGCAAAGTTTTTTTAGATTTTGGCCATAACTCTCATCCTTTGTGTTTTGATTTTTAATCCCATAGAAGTACAATCTATTATTGTGCATTTCTATGCCAATATAACATGTAATTTAAGCTAAATGAAATTCAACATGACAATTTATCATCATCTTAGTAACTTTCCTTTGGATTAGATTTAAATCTTTATGGTAAAATGGAGTTGATATTTAGGCCTGTAGAACTTAACTGCCTTTGGAATTATTATTACAATTCTTACTTTGGACACTCCGCTCCACCACATTTTATGAATAACTAATAATTGCATCTTATTCTCCCTTGTACATTAATCTGATGCTTACAGTACAGTTTCTTTTTATGTCTATTTGGTGCACAAATTTTGTGATGAAAACAGCCCTCTAAAGGGGAGTCATCTGCCTGATGAAATTGTTTATTAATAATTTTATTATTAATTGATTTTAATAATTTGGGTTTATGAATATTTTAGAATTGTTTTATTGTATTATTATAAACCATATAAAACCCTGACACTGGTATACAAATGTTCACAAATTAAAATGTTCACCCTATATATTTTCATATACAGATGTGATTACATGTATATTGAAATGATTATTTATAATCTAATGCTTGTTTCTAGGTTGAAATGTTTTTGAAACGGAAGACTGTGAAACAAAAGATTATTTTACTTAAGTCTGGGGAAAAAATCAGCATTGACTTGGCTGAAAATGAAGTGCCATTAGGCACAAGGTTTCTCTGCTAAAAGTGCAGCTGCTTCAGAAAGTTGCAGATGTGGCCAATCAGTGGACCATGCAGCAATTCCTGTGGGGCAGGAACGATTATCAACAAAATTAGGATGGCAGTTGTGGCAGTGCTATCAAAGTTCCATTTCTTTCTATATATAGTATGTACAACATCAACATGCAAAAGGTGTGGAACTTCAGTTATGCTACTATCATTGGCATTTTGACCACCAAAGGATTTGTGGGCTCTGAAGCATTTATTCCTGTTAATTGTAAGTGCTATACACAGCTGTTTGAAAGCATGAATTGATTCACTGCATAATGAGTATTATTATTTAGAGTACTTGATTAAATATGATGGCAAGCTGTATAAATCAGCAACATCTGCAAGGCATGAACTAGTAAGACAATGGAGGTGTCATGATCTAAGACTTGCCCCTCTTGCACATGTATCATGTACAAAGGAATCAGTCTTAGGTTATGTCAAACAATTTGTACTCTTTCTCATACACACACTCTGCTGGAAATAATGGCCTATATATCACAATGGCTTAGAAATATTATGAACAATAATAGTACCAAAATAAATTTTTCAACCTGCATCTAAATCTTCTTTGGGTACATAAGTAAACATTGAAAGCTGTATGCCATTTTAAGGCAGTAAGATGCAGAGAGAAAATAAATAGCCCTAAACATAGTTTTGTTTCTGTTTGATTTGGATATTGTATGTGTGTCATTTTATGTACTGGTGGCATTTTATCATTCATTTTAAGGCATGTGTTTCACAAATATGTGTAGTTTTGTTTCTAAACAATACATTTTGCTGAACATTCCCATTGTGTGGTATGCTGAATTCATGTATTTCTACATCTATTTTTTGCTTTTGCTACTCAATCATTCAGTACACAGGCTTCCACTTTTTGATACAGGAGATAATATCTCAGAAGCACCATTTTTTAAAGCAGAAAAGAAAGCTTGAAAATTAGTATATAAAATCTTTCAAAAACATATTTCATGCCTATGTGCTAATTTGTTCTGGAAACTGCACAAATGATACATTATCTTAACCTGTCTCCAATAATCAAACCGTATTTCTTGTGAGAATACAAACAAGAATACATTCTTTGGTCCATACAATATACTATCTATTCCAGTGATGGTGAACATTTTAGAGACCGAGTGCCCAAACTGCAACCCAAAACCCACTTATGCATCGCTGGGTGCCAGGTGGGTGTGGCCAATTGGGTGGGCGTGGCTGTGGTGGTTAACGGCAGAATGGGTGGGATTAAAAAGTTCAATCAATCAATTCCAGCTTTGCAAGATCTTTTTTTCCCCGCAAGAAGTTGAAATTGACTGATTGATTGAAACTTTTTTTATATATATACATGGCAGAGGCCTAAAGCGAAAAGGTTTTATAAAACTCAACTGAAGGCCTAGGACTGGGGCAACGGCGCGCATGCCCACAGAGAGGGCTCTGAGTGCCACCTCTGGCATCTGTACCATGGGTTCGCCACCACTGATCTATTCCCTTTCTTCAGCTTTCTACTTTTTCAACCGTGACAAACGTAGTACAAGAACTTTTTCTAATAAGCAATTTTTTTTTTGTTTGCTCAAGGAAGTTCTTATCCTTTATTTGACTTAGGGTCAGTTGACTAGTTCTTGAATATGTTGTTGTATTCTTAGTACCCCACATCCATAGTTTGAGGTCATACTTTCTCAATGTGTACCTTAAACTGGTGTACATAGTTATTGAAAAAACTTTTTAATTATTCTTATTTATTGCCAAATATATCCTTATCTTTCATTATCTATTATCTTCACTTCTTTGCCATAAACTATGAGTTCGCTGAAAATATTGGTTGGCATTAGTATTTAATATTAGGATAATTTTTCCATTTTTTTACTCTTACAATTAAATCCCAAAACAATGCCAGCTAATATAGTAGCATTGTCTGCATATCTCAAACTATTACTGTTTTGACCTCTTTTTATTTCCACTGTCCTCTTCCAATGTGGCCATTGCTAGATTTGAGATAAATTGATATAAAGATAATATGCATCTTCCTCTCACATCCATTGCTGTTCTTAAACAACTCTGTTTCACAAAAGTCAGTTGTCATTTGTTTATTGTGAAGGTCTCTCCAAAATTAACCATAATATATTTCTGCGTACCCATTTGCCTTAATATATTTCACATTTTGGCAGGAACAACTATACTTAGATACAGTAACTATTTTCAATAAAATATAGGTCTTATATTCTCTTTTCTTCTCATGTTATCTATGTTAGGCTGTCTTACCCCATCTCCTCTGCTTTTTCTGAAACATGCTTCTAATCTGACTGTTCTCTTTCCATGGACTTCTGGGTAAGTTTAGCAAATTCTGAGCAAATTTAACTTGCATAAAAATTAGAACTTGTTTTATTCTCTTCGTAGGATCTTAGTAGTACAATATATCACATTTGATCTAAAGTAGTTAGTTTTTGTCCACCTGTTCATTTATTCCTAAAATGTAATGTCTAAATAGCTTGAGCTCATCCTTAATTAAATCAATAATACCTGTTGATGAAAGTACTACCATCTCATATGTCAAAATTTAATTTAGTGGATATTTAGAGACTGTTAATTACTTCAAAACTATTTTTTTTCAATTGTACATCAGAGTTGTTCTTGACTACATTATTTTCTGGTATCTCAATTTTTAGTTTAGTTGATTTTTAATGGGTTAAAAAATGTAATATAAGTAATATGCCTATATAAAATGCCCCAGCAACAGTTCAGTTCCTAGAAGAAAGAAATGTCCCATTTTTTCCTAGGCACTTAACATATATTTATTAAAAAATTTGCTTTTTGAAAAATAGATACAATTGTTTGAATATTTTTTTTTATTGCAAATATAGTTTTTTGGATTTATTGTTTATTAGGAATGTCTGCAGGCATTCAAATATGGATGTATTGTTTAGACTTTATGAAAAAAAAGTTCAAGTAAGAAAATGGATGTGGGAAGTTAATAATCTTTTAAGCATATTGTAAGACGCCAACTGAATTATATGTTTATGGGTAACACACAAGAACTTAATTACCTTTTTTTGTTCTTGAAACAGAATTGGACCATATAAAGCAAAGATAATGGAAGCAAGTGAAACACTTAGTAGGTTACCAGACTTGATTGAAACAACAGCAATGTAATATTTCTGCTATTAAAGGATGCCAGTGTGAAACACATGAGTCTGACTGAATAAATTAACATTTTGTTACATTGATATAAATAGTAAAATGTAGCACTGAGAATCATGTTTTTCATAATATAGGTATCCCAAAGATTACAATGATTTAGCTATATCTTTATGTATCCAAAAGTAATAACCATTGAATCTGTGACAAGAGTAAAAGTTCCCATCTGGAAGACACTCTCATTGAACGGTGTAAGACATATATCAATATTTTTGCCTTAATACTATTAAGAGAAAAATCGTGGTTTTTTTAAATAATATTGCTCCTTTAGTGAGGCATGTGGAACTATAATTGATTAAATTTGTCAAATTTATTTTCTACATGTTTTGATGCAACATATTGACAGCAAACTTAACATAGATTATAAAAAAAATTATCATCCATCCTGGATTCACAATAGTTTAGGGGATTGATAACATTAGTAATCTATATTCTCATATGTTTAGTTTAACGAAGAGAAGGACAAGGGG